TTATATTCTTCCTATTTCTTATATTCTTTCTTCTTATATTGTTCCTACTTATTTTCCTATTGTCCTTACTTCAAACTCAATTTCTATGGTCGTAAACAAAAATTTTCCAGAATCTTTTCCGATTGAACTATCGATTCTAGAACAACTTTTGAGGAATTAGGATCGTACGAATGAAATAATCACTTCATTTTTGAAGTAATTTTAATTATTCCCTCACATCAATTCGCTCAAAATGAACCATTTTGAGCAATTATTCTCAGAATTTCTGCCTGCTATAACATTACAATTTCAATCGTAATTAAAATCGCCCACTCACGTTTCCCAGTATAAACTTTCCCTACCACTAATATCCACCAAAACGAAATCCTTTCCTCGACATCATCCCACTCCCAGCAAACCAAATTCATAGTATTCAGCCAACTATCATCCTTCTCAAAAACTTAACATTACTTCTGAATCACCGAATTGGCTGATTATCGGCTGAATACAAGAATCACACCATTATTGATAAGACATGATAACATTTTTAAAAAACACACGACAAAATAATACAAAAACAATAAATAATACAACTTTGACACACAAATACAATAAATGCAATCATTTGATGCAGTCTGATATGAGTCAATTTCGATTTTTGTAATTTTTAATTTTTTTCTTTNGTTTCTTTATTTTTTGTTTTTTTTATTTTTTTGGTTTTCTTGTTTTTCTTCATTTTTTTGCTTTTTTACTCAATTTTTTCAAATAAGAAGAAAAACGAAAATAAACATTGATAACGCCAAAAAGACAATCAAACAATCAGATAGATTGAGCAAATGGATGAAAGCAACAAAAATTGTTCACATAATAGTAAAACAAATTAAGCTGAACTCAATATCAAAGTAATACAGCCGAACTTGCATAAGTTCAAGATCATCTTCAACCAGCACGAAATATCACGGCGTTCAATTATTCACCAGAAAAACATGATTCGGATGAGTGAGTTCAGCTTAATCAAACAAAGATGGAACCGGAATGAATGCGTGAGATAAAATTATCCGTCACGCATATACATGAGAGCACATCATATGATCAATGATACCTGATTAAACATAAGCAAATGTGCGAATGAGATCACTCTAATGAGCAAATATAACGACAGAGATAAAAATAACAATCACAATAAAATATTCAACTCGAATATGGAAAACGAAAAAAACTTATATAAGTACAAGAAAAATAACAGCTAATTCAAACCTCGAATTTCAAAAATTCAGTGAATTCAATGTGAAATAATTTAGAAACTGTAGTTGATACATTGCTAATAAATTTATCCAAACAAATTCTAATTCAACCTTAGTAATTCGATAAGATGATAACAATACTCAATAATAATACTTAATTAGATATATGAAGATATATAAACAACATAATTCATTCTAACAAAACATTAATTCAAACTCAATTTCATTTTCAGTCCCAACAAAAACACAACAGTCAAACCCAAGCGCGGAAGGAACAGCAACGAGAGGGAAGCACCACAAGCCACAAGGGGCAACCTGGTTACGGAGGGGACAAGGGAAGCCGGCATGAACCTGATACAGATTCTGGCTAATCGCTATCATCACCCACTCATACAATTGTTCCCGGACCTGATTACCGGCAACAACTAACTTATCTGATGCATCAAATTTCCAATCATTCTTATCATACTTCATCATATTTAATCAATTTCGTCATTATACGCCGCAGCTGTACTCATCACAATCGAGAAGGATGGGGAAGGGGCATTTAATCAAATTAAGGATGTTAGTTAGTAGTGAGGGGAAATTTGGAATGACCTCATCGATGGATGGAGGAAAGGGGAATCTATCATCAAGGGGAGAAGAAAGGCAGTCCAACACGACCCAGCCAACGAAGCACTACAGGGGGAGATCATCAGTCCCAGAGGATAGCAACAATCAAACAATGCATGACAATAAAACATCACAAAATCATCCCACCAGCAAAAAGGTAATGGAAAAATGTGAAATCAAAAACATTTAAAGGAGCACTATCCTAATAAGGTATCAGTAAAAACGACCACTTCACGTTGATATCATTGAATCAAACGAAATTAAACTATTCAGGTATGATCTAGTCAGCATCGGAAGTTGTTCAGGATTTTCAAGATTTTGCTCGTTTCTGTGCTCCACTGAATAGTCAAAAAAATCGAACCGCTAACAGTAAACCGTTTTTGCCGGTGGGGTAGACGCGTCGAGTCGAATCCTGCACAGTCGATCGTTGTTGTCCTCCAAAACTGATGATCCATCCCGATCATTTAGTGCTGATCGGGATTTGCTCCCCTGTAGCGCTTCGTCGTCACCGGCATGGTCGCCTCATCGGCCGCCCCTAGGGATTGACGCCGCTTGCGACTTCTTGGCGTCGTTACCCTAGGTTCCTC